GCAGGAAGGGGAGGAGTGGAGACTAAGACTCTCCATCTGGCTCTTGCAAACGGGGTTACAGACCTGATTTCTCAGGCCCACGTAGTAAATAATACAGAGCAGTGGCACTCAACCCTGGTGGCACATGAGCCTCCCTTGCCCAGGCCCTATCCAAACAATCAAATCCAAGTTGGGGGGCAGCGAGGGGAGATCTGATCATCAGAAGCCTTAAAGCTCCCCCGGTGGTTCCAAGGAGCAGCTGAGACGGAACCACTGTGAAAGAGCCCGGAGCAAACTTCCTGGGAGAATATGGGGTGTGTCTGCCAAACAAATGGGTGTCGTCTGTCACCACCTTCTCAATAAAATACACTAGAAAGCCTTTCATCTGACACATTTTGGACTAATGATTCAAAAAAGTGGTTTAAAGTGGGGAAATCATAAAATGTGCCTTTTACTGGAACTTCACCTAAAATATATTCGCTCACTGCTAATCTCTTGTGTAATGCCAGGGTGTTTCCTCTGAGCATGAGTCCCCTGCTTGGCATTCTGCGTCATCTTTCCTACCTAAATGGTCCCCAGGAAATCTCATATCTGATTTCTAATCACACCTGGGTGGAAGCAGAGGGCAGGCTGCAAAGCCGGCTCACCCACCATCCCGGACTTTCTGTAGCTGCTTCACCAACCCCTAATTCAGCAGAACTCTTTGCTTTTATGATTTAGCTGTGACTGTTTCCAAATATTCAACTTCGTTTATACAGAAACATTTTCACTCATATTTTGAATTTGCCATTTAATTAAATTTCCTATTTGTAGTGGCAGGCACAAAGGCACGAATTGACATAAAAAACACTGGCTTTGGGGAAAGTAGGTAAGGGTTGTTGGAAGGAGTGTTCACTTTGCTTGGAGGGATGGAGCGCTGCTCCACAGGAGGAGAGGGGCGGGTCACCCAGAGTTCTTCAGGAAGAAGTTTCTTCCAGAGGGTTTACGTCACAACTGCCACCCAGCAACTGGACAGGTACTGTTACATTAAAGCCTCCAGTTAACCCTCATACCAACCAAGTTTTATTTTCTACACTTGATAGATAATAAGAGGGCCTCCAAGGTGGTAGGTGATTCACCCAAATTCACCTTGCTGAAGTGGCAGGTGCTGGATTTGAGCCCCGTTCTGTCTGCCTGACAGACATCAAAGCCACAGCTCATAACGCATAGTTGACAGTGACTTCTACAAAGCTGGGGCTTCTCAGCCTGACACACCCCAGAAATAGCACAGTGTGCCTGAGAGCAAACAGGGCTAAATCTAGTGACAGTCCTTAATTCTTTTACATCATAAAGAAACAACCAAGCTACCTGAACAAAAAATTGTTGAGACTGAGCCAAATAATAATACTAATAACACCAATAACATAATTAGGATTGGAATCTTATCAAATTTACAACACTGATTTGTCACTCAATGAATGATACACAAGATTGTGTTACATGGTAATTAAACCAAAATGGTAAAATTGTCTCATGTAGTCAGATCAGGGGTTTCTGGGACCTACTGGAGAGTGTCCAAAGAGTAAGAGGGAGAATTGCTCATGACTTCATTTCTGTTTTTCCTCTGAGCAAACTGGCCCCGGTGTTAACTCTCCCTCCTTCACGCCGGTTTCAGGGCCCTACTATCTGCCCTGTCCCCACTTCTAATTCTACAGGAGTAATATCTGTTTTCTAGTTGCTCTTATGGTCTAGCACCTCATGTAGTTAGCTTTTCATTTTGACATAATTTCAGACTTAGAGAAAAGTTCCAAAAATAGCACAAAGATTCACCAGATATCCTTCAGCCAGATTCTCCAGCTGTTAACGCTTAACCATATCTATCTAGCTATAGACTTATTTGAGAATGAGTTGCAGACATGGTACCCCTTTACCCCTAAATACTTTGTGTATCTTCTTAAAAACAGAAACATTCTCTTATCAGGAAACTAACACTGATACAACACAATGAATCTGCAGACCAAATTCAAATATTGGCAATTGTCCCCAAAATATGCTCTACAGCAAAAGAAAATTCCAGGTCCTGCTTTACATTTGTTTTCATGGCTCCTTAGTCTGTCCTTCATTTAGAACAGTTCCTCAGTCTTTTCTGTGCTTCATCGTACTGACTCTTTTTTTTTAAGTACATGTCGGTTGTTTTGTAGAATTCCCTCAATTGCAGTTTATGTGATATTTCCTCATAATTAGACTCAGGTTATGCATTTTCAGCAGGATGTTACTAAAGTGAAGTCCATTAGGTCTGTGGTGGTTTGGACGAAGGCAGAGGACTATGTGGCTGGCCACATGTGGTCATGTGGCACCTGACACTGTGAAGGGAGGTGGCCTTTGGAGGACGCAAGTCAGACTCTCTGGAGGCAGGTGCAGGAATAAACCTGCATCACTCCCCACCCCGGCCTGAGGCAGACTTGGCCTGCCACACTGGAGTCCAAGGGTGCCTCCTGCAGACACTGGTCTTCAAAGCTGCTTGTATAACTTAATTCCTTCTGGGAGGTTCAGCTCCACTAATCACAGCTAAGGGTGAGCAGAGGCCATCAACCCCACTCTCAGAAACTGGGCAGGCGTCCTGCACAGGTGGGCGGAGCGGGGCACAGACGAGTGTGGGCAGCAAATGCGCAGCCGTAGTGTGTCCAGGCTCTCCCATTATGTTTCTACTCCATTCTCTTGCAAGCTCTCCTCCTCACCTTCCAGAAAACAAAGGCCACCTGGGGCAGTTAGGGACCACAGAGACATGAGTGTCTGGGAGAAGGGCTGGCCCAGAGGACTGGATTCTGGTTCCAGAGCTGTGCGTGGAGGCCTCCAGCAGGCTCACCTGCTTCGTCCAGCTCAGTAGAGGTTCTTCCCCTTCTTAGGGGCAGGGCTGTCCTCACTCCACCCATTCTCCCTCACCTGTCCTCTACTGCCAGGCTGGCGGCCCACTGCTTCTCGCACAGTGGGCTGTGCCACCCCTGCCTGCAAACCAGCTGTCTTAAAAATGGCAACCTCACCCAGGGCCCACAGCACCCAGGACCTTCATGGTTAGGAGAGTTGCATGTCGCCCTGGCCGGGTGGCTCAGCTGGCTAGAGTGTGTCACCCTGTACACCAAATGTTGCAGGTTTAAGTTCCAGTCAGGGTTGCAGGTTTGATTCTGGTTGGAGTGTGTATGGAGGGCAACTGATTAAAGTTTCTCTCTCACATTGATGTTCTCTCTCTCTCTCTCTCTCTCTCTCTCTCTCTCCCCTTCCCTTCCTCTCTCTAAAGTTAAACATATCCTGGGTGAGGATTTAAAAAAGAGTAGCATGTACAAATGCATATGTTGGTAAAGTGTTAAAAAAAAAATCAAACCTGTGTTGCCAGCAAAAAGGGGTGATTTTAGTACAAATGATTATAGGTACCAGGAAATTAATAAACAAAAAAGAAGTCATAAAACCCTTTCGGACTATAGAAAGATGTTAAAAATTTTCATAAAATATTGTTAATGTACAAATTACCACAAAACATAATTTCTCCAGATGTTTATCAAATATTAATAGCTGTTGCATGAAAAAGTATTCACGATCAAATTGGTTTGGGGACTTTGAGTTGAATCCAGCTCAGAGGCTCAGCAGAGCACAGGAAAGAACTAAAGTGTATGCGTTCTAACTCGTGGGCCCAGGTGACGAGTGTGCTGAGAAATGCACTTGGGACCAGCGATCAAAGAGAAAACACAGCCTCTCATGTTCATGGAGGCCTCCTGCAGCTGCATGGTGGTAGCAGGTACCCAAGGCTACTGGAACTGTGCCGCTGCCCTGACCACTGTGACAGACATGACAGTGAAATATTTAATACCATGAGCATGACAGTGAGGCATATTGGATGTCTACGCTGTTTACTACACAGCAGGTAAACAAACCCAGCCTCTTTCCCAGAGCTTCATGTCAGTCTCTGTTGACAGAATTGTTCATCATAACCTTTCGTGATAAACTGTCAGGGTCCCTTTGAGATCAGGCTAATGCTATCGCCTCTCTCTCAGTCAGCCCATGTTTCCATTCACTGAGTACCTCCTGTGGGCCAGAAACAAGAGGGCATGCTGAATCCAATTCAAAAAAGCATTTTGGTAACAGCTGGAGGTAAGGGCATGGCCAGATGAGGATGTTTATAAAGTTGATAAGGATTTTATATTCTGGTGACATTCTTTTGTTTTTAATTGTTGACACTATTACAAATGTCCCCTGTTTTCCCCACCTCCACTCAGCGCTCCCCCCACCCCCCAATCTGGCCATCACCACACTGTTGTCTGTGTCCATGGATTACTCATATATGTTCTTTTTACTCATATATGGTTAATCCCTTCCCCTTCTTTCATCCAGTTCCCACCACCACCTCCCCTCTGACCTCAGTCTGTTCCATGTTTTCATGCCTCTGGTTCTATTTTGTTCATCAGTTTATTTTGTTCATTCAATTCCACATATAAGTGAGAGCATATGGTATTTGTCTCTCTCTGTCTGGCTTATTTTGTTTAGCATAATAATCTGCAGGTCCATCCGTGCTGTCGCAAAAGGTAAGAGATCATTCTTTTTAGAGCCATATCGTGTTTCACTGTGTAAAGGTTGCACAGCATTTCATCCACCCTCTACTGATGGGTACTTGGGCTGTTTCCAGATCTTGACTATTGTAAGTAACACTGCTATGTTTATTTGCATTGACCAATATCGTATCATTTTTATGCATGTATGTATATATATTTTAGTTTGATGACCATCTTGGATGTTATTTCTCAGTCTGTACTGCCCTTGAATGAATTTATTCTCAAAGGCTACTTCTGTGTTTTGCCCTGGTAGGAAGCATCAACTGAACTCTTCTGGTCATCTGAAGAGCCAGCCCGATAACATGATTGATTGTTACCATTTCTTGCACATACATGGCCACTGTTGCTATGAGATGAGAAGTACTTCATAAGAATCTATAGAGTAAGTGTGAAGAGGTGTTGCCATGATTTAAAATGAACCCTCTTGGTTTGTCTTCACAGAGCATGTCAGAACGAGGAGCGAGTGATACCTTGTGCCAAGCCAAAGTGTGAGGGGAGACCTCAACGGCTTCATCTAGTAATTTTCCATTCTTACCTCCACCTCCAGAAAAGTCCAGAAACTTCAGAGTATTCTTACAGGATGCTCAGTGAAACCTCAACCACCCTCTGAAGGTAGACTTCATTCCAGGGTGTATATAGGGTTTACTCTACTCTGGGTGGATCTTTCTGTTGATCTAAATAGTTTATGTGAGTCCATTCTGCGGAAGTCCTGTTTATTTTGATAAGTTATTGTTAAGCTCTAAGAATACTTCTCTCCTAACAATACAACTGTCCTATGAAATGTAATATTTGGCTTTTACTTAGGGATTCCTCAGATCTGACTGAAAGTAGGATTCAGTTACAAGAGGAGAAACTCACGTTAATAAAGTAAGAATTTAAGACTATATGTATTTATATGCCTTACTACCCAGTGGGAGAGTTTGACTGACCTAATATGATTTTGACCTTGAATTGCTTATATGACCCAAAGTTATCAGAAGAGACTTTCCTGGGATTACTGGGTACACTGCACTCAGCCTGACTCTGTGTGCTTATCTATAAAGTGAGTCACAACTAGCTCACACAAGTTCTGTAAAGGCAGGAGAGTGACCTGCTTTTCCTAATCTGTGCAGAAGGTGGTGATGGTGTGAGGTGGGGAAAGAAGCGGAAGGAGGAACAGAAGCCCGACTAATACTTTGAGGACACAGGTTGTTGAGGATATTTTTATGTGTCTTGAGCCACACCAACTGATAACTTTATGTCTTTGTTTTCACAGGTCCCCTTTCCCTCCATCTTCATGTGGCCAATTCTTACCCATCCTTCAAGGACCATTTCAAATGTCACCTCATCAAAATAGCCTTCTTTGGATACACTGCATCTCTTGCTGCCTTGAAATGCTATGGAAAGTCACCTCTAGTTCTTGTTAATGACTGTCACTTTATTTCTGCATTCTAATACTGCTATTTTTATCTACATAGAGCTCCTACAGTGGGTGGTGAACTCCTGATAGAGGACACAGGTCTGTTTCTTTGTTATTGTTGTTGTTTTGCTGTTATTCTAAGCATTAAGCACATGCATGTTAGAGCAAGTGCTGAATGAGCAGAGTGAGTCTGTCGAATGTAGAATTAGAATGATACATGGTAGGCTACGACTACTGTGTTGGAACCCAGAGAGGCAACATTTTGCTTTGGTCCATGGGGAAACCTGCTATTAGTCATTGTTACAGGTTGCACTGTGTCCTCCCAAAATAAACAGAAGTGCGAATCTCTAGTATTTGTGAATGAGACCCTGTTTCCAAACAGGGTCCTTACAGATGATTCAGTTAAGAGGTCATTCAGGATGGGCCCCAATGTAATATGACCCCATCCTTATGAAAAAGGCAAATTTGGACAAATCGATTTGCTGGCACACAAGCAGAATGCTATATAATGGTGAAGGCTGATATCAGAGTGAAGCATCTACAATCCAAGAAATGACAAATATTGCTGAGAAATCACCAGAAGCCAGGAGAGAGGCAAGAACGGATTCTTCTTCACAGCCTCAGAAGGAACCAGCCCTGCCCACACTTTCATCTTGCACGACTGGTCTTAGGAACTGAAACAGATTTGTTGTTTAGGCCACCGGTTTGTGGTACTTGATTACAGCAGCTGTAGCAACAGTATACATACTGTTACATGGTAATTATATCCTACCTCTTACTTTTCTCTGTTCATGTTTTTCAGAGGGTCGTTGGGGCCACATGGATGGGTTTTAAGTGGTTGGAATGTTTCAGCTGGGAAGAAACACGGAGTAAGATAAGTAAGAAACAAGGGGTAACTATGATAATATAGTGGTAACAGAAATATAATAATAATGTTTAAAAATATTATAGAATGCATTATTTCATTCAATCTTACAAGAAGTCTATTCTTGCAAGAAGTGAACAGGATAGATGTGATTTCCACCGCAGCTTTTCAACAGTGAAGAAGGTAACTAATATTTATTGAGTGCTAAGCGTTTTTCCAAGTACATTGCATGTATTATGTCATTTAGCCCTGAAACCACACTGACATGGCTACTCTGACCCTCGTTCTACAAAGGAGAAAAGTGCAACAAAGAAAGACTAAGAGACTTGCTCAAAGTCATATAACATGTGAGTGGGGAGATGGGATTCAACTCAGATCTGAGGCAGAACCAGGGTGCATCCCATTGGTTTGGTGTCTGTGCCACTGTGTCACCTCCTCTGTCCTCCTCTGCCTCAAATGTAGAGGATATATGGCCACATCCCAAGTCAGTGTTCCACTGGCAGGTCCAGGAGGACCCTGAGCTTCTTTGAGTTTAGGACAGTGTCTTACTCACCTTTATATCCTAGCACCGTGTCAGACACATGAAAATGCTCAATAAATGTTTGTTAGATGAATATGCTGCTCTGGAGCGTCGGCCCACAGACCAGAGGGACCTGGGTTCGGTTCCGGGTAAGAGCATGTACCTTGGTTGCAGTTTGTCCCCGGCCCCAGTTGGAGTCGTGTGGGTGGAGACTATTCGATGTGTCTCTCTCGCATCGATGTTTCTCTCTCTCGCTCTTCCTCTTTCTCTCCCTCCCGCTCTATCTGAAGATAAGTGCAAAAACGTCCTCAGGTGAGGATAGAAAAATACACACACACCAGAGATGAATTTGTTTTTCAGTGCATTAAAAATTGATTTTATAAACAAAATAACTTTATGCTTTTATGTATGAATAAAGCCTAAGTTCTCTGAGATGTAAATTGGCAATAAAAATAACCTTTCTTTGCCCTGGCCAGATTGGCTCAGCAGTTGGAGCGTCAGCCTGTGGACCAGAGTCCCGGGTTCAGTTCCCCCTAGGGGCACGTACCAAAAATAAATAAATAATAATAACCTTTCTTTGGCAGAAAGAACATGATATAAGAGTGATAAGATCTCAGTTTCAGCCCTAGCTTCACCATTTTTTACTTATGAAACCTTGATTTCCTTATTTTTTTTTTTTATCCTCACCCGAGGACTTTTTTCCATTTTTTGTTCAGATAGAGCGAGAGGGAGAGAGAGAGAGAGAGAGAGAGAGAGAGAGAGAGAAACATCGACGTGAAGGGACACATCGAGTGGCTGCCACCCACATGACCAACCAGGGCCGGGGACAAACTGCAACCAAGGTACGGGCCCTTAGCGGGAACCGAACCCAGGTCTCTCTGTACCGCAGGCCGACGCTCCAACCGCTGAGCCAAACCGGCCAGGGCTTGATTTCCTTATTTTTAAATGTAGAGGATGGTCGCATGGCATCTGTAATATCATCCAGGTTTCGGATTCTGTGCCTCTGACTGGAAGACACACTCTGAGGACTTTCATGACCAGTTAAGGGTGTCTCATCTAAGGAAATAATTTGTTGTGACCGGGAACAATTACTTGAGCAGTATAAATCCACATTTTGCTCAGGCCAGTTAGAGCAGCTTTTCCATTTCAATAAGGACAGTCATCTGAGGGGTATCTGTATACAAAAGAACTAGTAACAAGATTATTAGTATTAAAGAGCTAAAACCTTCACCAACTGCCATGAACTTTTATAAACCAGTCCAGCCAGATGCTTCTGTTAAATGGAAAGAAAGAAAACCTTATGGTGAGGAGAACCCAACAATAAATCTTCTAAAGTTCCTTTATATGTGAGTGTTTTTTGATCTGGACCTAAAGGTTTAGAATACTGCCCAAGTACATGGCATCTTGTAGAAGGAGTGCAAATAGTTGTGAGAGATCAGTTTTCAATTTTTATTTATTTCTTTGGCAGTTACTGGTTTAACCCTAAGAGAAAGGTACCCTGAAGAAGTGGGCTCAGGAAATGATTAAGAGCTAATGAAGCTATAGGAGCCACATACCTTAGGCTAAAGACAAATTGAGGGGGGAAATTAATTTTTTTGTTAATCCTCATTGGAGGATATTTTCCATTGATTTTTTTTTTTTTTTTTGAGAGAGAGAGAGTGGAAGAGAGGGAGGAAGGTGGAAAGAAAAAGAGAGAGAGAACCATCAATGTGAGAGAGACACATTGATTGTCTGCCTCTGCAACCCAGGCACATGCCATTGATAGGAAATTGAACACAAGACCCTCCAGTGCACAGGCTAATGTTCTAACCACTGAGAACACCAGCCAGGGCTTAGGACAATGTCTTAAATGAAGTTGAAGAGGCAGTAATTGTATATATGCATATATATGGTGCTATGATATATGTGTAAATAAATCTAGAAACAGGAATAAGGAATGCTCCCTGTTGGAAGCAGCTGCAGGATTTAGCTGGACTGTCCAGCACCAGGTTTTAAGTCCAGGATAGTAATGGGCAGAATTATGTTGAGAAGTAGGAAAATTCAAACATGTGGTGAGCTTTCTGAAACCTACATTGTTTCCAGCTTTTCCATGAATGTATGCATCTCACATGCCTTGCTTTGCACTAATCAAAAAGCAGGTGACTAGCTGATGTGAATGATGTTGAGGTGGTTGATAAACCAGCTGTGGGGTTGATGATAAAATGAAAATGAAACCTATAACTATTACTGGACACTTTGTACACATGATTGTACCACATTTGCCACACAAAACTTTCTTTCAGACATCACCTCTTTTTAATATATGCTACATATGTATAAAACTATGATCTATCTTGGGAAGTACGGCCATTCTTCCTATAGACTTCTATAAGATTTCTTATATATTTTTCATATATAGATGAAGTCATCATTATATGGTAATAACACTATTTTTTCTCTCCAATAAAAACCCATCAAGGTTTGCTGCTATTTTTACTTTAATGTCCATAGCTAAAGATTCAGAGAGCCGGCAAGAGCTGGAGCGTGGACTGAGGGTTTCACATGCTTCCTTCTGTGTCATCTCACTGCAAGGAAATTAAGGGGCAGAAAAAGCAAGTCCTTGTCTGATATTAAACTAGTAAACTGTGGGTTGCCGGCTGGAAACAAGTTTTTTGATTCCAGAATTGGTGGGCATTCCACTCCCTCCTCCCCACGTTTGCCTCATTTTTATTACATGGTAAGTAGGACACTTGCTGTCTGCTGTTTTATTTGCTTCTCTCGGCGATGATTTGCTGTTGGTATTGTTAGTCTGTAAGTTGCGGATGAAGAAAGTAAGGTCACAGAAGCTGCCCAATATCACTCAGGCAGTAAATGGCAAGAAAGAATAATTATCATAGTTATGCATTACCTTTGTGTAAATATATTAATACCTACAATTAAATGTTTGATCAAATTTGACTAATTGCATGTTTATCCTTTGGGCTGTAATTTATTTGAGTTGGATTATAACTCCCTGGTTAGAAATACAATGCTTAAGAAATTTGAGAAAATTTGTGAAAACCAGATATAACTTGATTTGTTAATGTTTACTAAGGGTCATTGTCATCATTATTAGCTAAAGAAACTACGAATTAATTATGTTCTTTAAGTAAAACCTCAACAATAGCTTATTAATTTCTTAATGGGTCATCCTTTTTATTCATAGTCACTGAATTTTGTTATAATTTTGTGAATCCTTAACTATTTAACTGGTGGCTCAATATGTTGTCTGCTTGGTCTGATTAATTTTTTCACCAATCAATTGGGAAGAAATAGAAAATAATTTCAAAGTAGATATGGGAACTCGATATGAAATAACATGTCACGGAAGCAAAATTGTATATCCTTCAGCCTTTCAGAGAGGTTCCTTATTTCCCAGTTAAAAGCAAAAAACAATAGCCCAAATCAAGCACCTGGTAGAAGTGGAAATGAAGGAGCGGAGAGTACGAATGAATAAAAATCAACAGAAAGGGGGCGTGCCCTGAAACAGACATCTACTCTGGAGGGCTTTTGCCAGATACAGCACCTTCTTCAGTACCCTCTTTTAATACATGGCTGTAGCTATAATTATAGCATGTTTTAGTATTTGGTTAAAATTTGATTGCCTTTCCATCTCGTGCAGGACCAAAAAAAAGAAAGAAAAAAAAACACAGAAGCGTTGGAAAAACTGCACAGTGACTACAGGATGTCCTGTTACATTTATCTGGTAAGACAGACCCATGACTCACTATAACTCTTGACACATCGGAAACGGTTTTATTGTGAATAGTATTTTTCTGCTCATAAATATTAAACACATAGATTTGAGGATGACAAGCTAGGTTTGTCCTGATATAAAGGCATTCTCCTAGAATTCCTAACGAAGTGAAAGAAACAGCGTGGACATGTCGGTGGTGGCAGCCGCCGGTCGAGCCCGATCTCCCAGCTCTCAGAACTCTCGTGTCCTCCTCCTTCAGTTGTTGATAATAAATGGTATGAGGAAGATATCTCTTGTTTGAATCTGTAGGTTTTGTCATTGTTTTGCAAAGCTAGGATACACATGCTCAACTGGAAAAAAAAAACCTCTTGAGCCTTTGAGCCATAAAAAATTATGTTGCAAAAAAATTATGGGTAATCAATTAATAATAATGAAAAGAATAGCTTCACATAAAAAGAGATGGAAACTTTCTCATTGTGATGATGCTTTCAACTCCATAACTCTTTAAAAAGCAAAACAAAGGAACAAAATGAAGACACAAGGTATGTTCTTACTCCTCTTTCTTAAATTGCAATTATTCACACTGTCTTATTTCAGTTGCCTAAAATGTCTCCTCTGCACAAAACTTCTCGATTACATTATCTCAAATGATCTTCCTCTTCTCAGTCTACATTTATTGCCAAAACACATTATTTAAAAGTACATATTTTATCAAAGAGAAAATCTCCCTCAGTACCATCTTTGGGATTGTTATATGATAAAATGTAGCCCTGGTTTCTTTAGCTTCTCATTCATATTCAGATATTGATCTCATTGTGCATGTGTGTATAGGGTGTGTGTGTGTGTGTGTGTGTGTGTGTGTGTGTGTGTTAGAGAGAGAGAGAGAGAATAATGTCTGGGGACAAAGTTTTGAAAAGTGGGTCAGCCATGAGGAGAAGTCAAAGAAATTTAGAAAATAAAGACAGAGGGTGTTGAAGATATCGTGCAACTTCATTTAATGACCGGTGGAGAGTCACTGACCATTGTTAGCAGGGGTGGGAGTCGGGGGGAGTGGGAAGGCATAGAGATGCCCTAAGGGAGTCCTGCCTTGTACTGGGCTTTAGTGAGGGGCTGGAATTGGATGGTGGGGGTTGGGAAGTATAAGGTGAAGGAAGGTGGAGACATGTGGTTATCCCTCAGTCAGAGCTCAAGATTGGGAAAGTTATTGAACTCACTAACCTTGTTTCCTGGTTTTTAAAATGGAAAGATCAAGACTTGGAGGGACTGATTTGAGGAGTCAATGAGACAGTAAACGTAACGGACTGAACCTGTGGGAAATGCTCAACAGATTGTATATGAAAGAAGAAGAGGTAGAAGAGGAAGAAATTTCAGGGAAATGCAAGGGATGCATCATTTGGATAGAGAAAAAGGAACTATTCTGTTTTCTACCTTTCATACTCTTTCTACTGTGTTTAAGAGTCACAGTATAGTTGTCTCCAGACTACATGGAGTAAAACTTGCAACAAAACTCAGATTCAGGGAGCTGACAGAGGAAAAGAGAATGCACCAAACCTGGGGAGAAAATACAGTGCATTTTTATTCATGCAGGAGGGCGCATGCTGGCCATCCTGGGTGAGTGTGTCCCCCCAAACTGAGTCTTACTGTGATGGCAGGGAGGGATGACTCCCTGAGATTCAGGAGGCATTGCAAATGCACCTCCAGATTGACGGGCTGGGCATGAAGACCGGATGTCCGTGAAGTGCGAAAGATGAAATAAAAGGAAAGTATGATGATTTTGTAATCTATCATATCAATATAAAGATAAAGGCTGGCCTGTCCTAAGGAAATGGCTTGCAGTTCCTCTAATTTTTAATTTCAGCCCTTACACCAATTACTTAATCTTTCACCCAATGTACCTATAAATAGAAATAATGAAACTTGCTATTTCATTCTCTTTTCCAACAGCCCTTTTTCTTGATTCTTTCCTTGGGCTAATAAGCATTGTTGCGGAAGGTTTTGCATCCTGTAGGCAATAAGCTAAAGTATTTGCACGCATTTAAAAAAATTCTCACATTTATTCAGCCCTAAGTTGTTGTTGAATGTTTGCTAGGTGTTGCGCGCATGGATAGTGGCAATTATTCCCATTTTATAGCAGAGGAGCCTCAGTGGCAAGGAGATCTAGAGTCTTGCGTCAAAGGCCCAGCAGGAAGCCCGAGTCCCACTTACCGGCCACTCCCTGAGTTCGTTCGTCCAAGCCTGTGCTGAGAAACACGGAAAGGCCCTCGTGACAAATATCAATTCCCCTTGGCCACAGGACGATCAAATAACACTCGTGTGTTATCTAGCATAAAATTTAAGTGAGAATTTTTTAAATCATCACGTCATCTCTGCAAATAGAGTTTTACTTCTAAAATAAAAATAACAAAACAAAATACAAGTGAGCATGGTGACTTCCCAAGACAATCAGCCTCTGCAGCGACCTTAGGTAACATTCATACCCCAAATGTTGCTATATTAGAAAACCGAAACCAAAGTGGGAGAGAATATTCTCTGGTCTTTTTATTTTTTTTATTTTATTTTTTTATCCTCATCGGAGGACACTTTTCCATATTTTGTTCAGATAGAGTGGGAGGGAGAGAGAAAGAGAAACATTGATGTGAAAGAGACACATCGAGTGGTTGCCACCTGCATGACCCAACCAGGGCCGGGGACAAACTGCAACTGAGGTACATGCCCTTAGAGGGAACTGAACCCGGGTCTATCTGGACCTCAGGCTGACACTCCAACTGAGCCAAACTGTCCAGGGCTCTCTGGTCTTTTTAAAACATTGTGCCACATGAAGGAGAAAGAGAGACTAGGAAGAAAAGGGACAAAATACCTGGTTAACCATGAAATCAGGCTTACACAATGGAGTACTACGCAGCGGTAAGAAAGAAAGATCTCTTATCCTTTGAGACTACATGGAGGGACCTGGAAAGTATCATCCTAAGTGAAACAAGCCAAACAGAGAAAGACAAATTTCATATGATCTCACTGATTTGTGGAATATAATGAACATAACAGTTTGAGGACAATCCCCTAAGGAGTGGGGAGGTGAGAGAGGGATGAACCACAGAACTTATATGCATGTATGCATGAACAGTGGACATGGACAACAATCTGGGGAAGGGGCAGGGAGGGAAGGGGGAGGGGGGAATCAGTGGGGGAAAAAAGGAGAAACATTTGTAACAAAAATTAATCAATAAAAAAAAATAAAAAATAAAAAATAAAAAGATAAATTACTTTTTAAATCTAAGAATTAACATTCTGGTTGACTGACAAGTTTCAGCCTAATAAATACTAATTTGGAAAAAAAGTGAGATGGAAATAAATACAGAAGAAATTTGTTTCTCTTATGATCCAGTTTAGATGTTAAAAAATGAAAATTCTGTGAAAGAAAAAATAAAACTTTTGAGAAATAGAAACCTCTCAATATTGTTTTTGCTTAACTTGAGGGTCAATTTTAAAGAATGAATTTTTTTTTTTTTTTTTTATCCTCACCCGAGGACATTTTTCCATTTTTTGTTCAGATAGAGCGGGAGGGAGAGAGAGGAAGAGAGAGAGAGAGAAACATCGATGTGAAGGGACACATCGAGTGGCTGCCACCCGCACGACCAACCAGGGCTGGGGACAAACTGCAACCGAGGTACGTGCCCTTAGCGGGAACCGAACCCGGGTCTCTCTGTACCGCAGGCCGATGCTCTAACCGCTGAGCCAAACCTGCCAGGGCTTAAAGAATGAATTTTTAATTAATTAAATTCTAAAGAGATGTTTTTCAGAACATTAAAAGTAAAAGTATACATTTAATATAACTGCATTACATATATTATGGAGACTAAATCTCCCCAGACCTATGGGAATGGCCTAGAAGAGGAGTTCATGACCCAAGGGCAGACTTGGTCCCCTATATAATTTATACTGGGTTTCCCCACTAAGTTCACTACCAAAGGGACGCAATCATGATCTTGCTGGTTTCTTTCAAAATCTTTATTATTATTTGTTTAGATATGTCTTGATTTAAAACATAGAGACCTTTGGAAAATTGCATGCTGATTATTCTGGTAAATCAACTGCTATGTGCTGAGTTGTACCTATCCCCACCCAACTCATATGTTGAAGCTCTAACCTTGAATACCTGAGAATGTGACTGTATTTGGAGATAGGGTCTTTAAAGAGGTATTTAAGTTAAAATGAGGTCATATGGGTAGGCCCATTCTGATATGACTGGTGTCCTCATAAGAAGAGGAGGTTAGGACATAACACATAGACAAAGAGAAGATCATGTGAGGACATGGGAGAAGAAAACCCATCTACAATCCAAGGAGAGAGGTCGCAGGAGAAACCAACCCTGCTGACACCTTGATCTCAGACTTCCAGCCTCCTCCACTGTGAGAAAATACATTTCTGTTGTTTAAGTCACCCTGCCTGGGGTTTTTAGTTAAGATAGCCCTAGCAGACTAATACACCAACCAACCGACCAACAAACAAAACCAAGAAAGGACCAAACCTTCAGGACCCCAAACCTAATGCCAGCATCTCCCCTACCGTCTCCTTCTCCAATGACAGAATCAGATGTTGGGGAGATATAGACAGAAAAATAAATATAGATGTACTGTACGTGAGTGTGTGCGAGGACATCCTTCTAGTCCCTCATTCTGCTCACCAGTAGCGCCTGGGAAAAGCACTACCCCAATTAACATGAACATGCTCAGTGCTCAGACCTTGACTTCTAGCCACCATTCTCCTCTAAAAAAAATTAAAGATTCCTTGGAGAAATATTCCATTCCAGGGCTAGAACAAGGAAAGTACGAGAGGAGGTGGGAACAGAAAGCAAAAAAGTGCTCTTAAATGGGTTATCAGTAACAGATTATTATATTCTATTGAATAAAATAGAAACCATGAGTTTATGCTGATATATAAATTGAAAGTTAGATGAGAAATGGGACATTTACATAGTTTCAAAGTTTCTCCCTAAGGACAAATTTGTTTTA